CTTGAGCCCAGGAGTTGGAGGTTGCTGTGAGCTGTAATGCCATGGCACTCTACCCAGGGGGACAGCTTGAGGCTCTGTCTCAAAAAAAAAGAAAGTAAACCTGGGGTGGTGCCTGTGGCTCAAAGGAGTAGGGGCCCGGCCCCATATACCAGAGGTGGCGGGTTCAAACCCAGCCCTGGCCAAAAAAAGAAAAAAGTAAACCTGCAGGCTCGCTCAGTGAGTAGGGTGCCAGCCACATACATCGATGCTGGTAGGTTCGAGCCCAGCCCAAACCTGCTAAACAACAATGACAACTGCAACAAAAAAGTAGCCAGGCATTGTGGTGGATGCCTGTAGTCCCAACTACTCAGGAGGCTGAGGCAAGAGAATTGCTTAAGCCCAAGAGTTTGAGGTTGCTGTGAGCTGTGACGCCGTGGCATTCTACCAAGGGCTAAATAGTGAGACTCTGTCTTTAAAAAAAAAAAAGAAAGTAAGTAAACCTGTAAAGAATCTGGCTGTTTTGTCCAGTTATTTCTTTAGGGAAAATTCCAAGAAGTGAAACTTCTAGATCAAATGGCTTGCCCAGTTAAAATGCTCATTTGAGGCCAGGCAAGGTGGCTCACACCTGTAATCCCAGCACTCTGGGAGGCCGAGGCAGGTGGATTGCCTAAGCTCACAAGTTCAAGACCAGCCTGAGCTAGAGCAAGACCTCATCTCTAAAAATAGCCAGGCAGTGTGGCAGGTGCCTGTTGTCTGAGCTACTTGAGAGGCTGAGACAAGAGAATTGCTTAAGCCCATGAGTTTGAGGTTGCTGTGAAGTATGACGCCACAGCACTCTACCCAGAGTGACAAAATAAGACACTGTCTCAAAAATAAAAATAAAAATAAAAATAAATAAATAAAAGTTTAAGAAAAAGTTATGAAAATGAGAAAGCCAGAATTTGAAGTTTTAACATCAACTACCATCCCAGCCCATGGCTGTGTGCATATTGATGCTATTCTCTATGAAACAAACAAAAAGAACGCAAGAGAAACATCTATTACTAAGCACTGACCACTAGAGGCTTTACCACTCTACCAAGGGAGACAAAGTGAGACTCTGTCTCAAAAAAAAAAAGATTCTCATATGGCCCAGCACAGTGGCTCAAGGCTATAATCCTAGCAGGCTGGGAGGCCAAGGCAAGTGGATTGTTTGAGCTCAGGAGTTCAAGACCAGCCTGAGCAAGAATGAGACCCCTGTCTGTAAAAAACAAAAACAAACCTCCCACTCCCAAAAACAAAGAGCCAGGTCTTGTGGCGGGCACCTCAGCTACTGGGGAGGCTGAGGCAAGAAAATCTCTTGAGCCCAGGAGTTTGAGGTTGCTGTGAGCTATAATGCCACAGCACTCTACTGAGGGTGACAAAGTGAGACTCTGTCTCAACAAAAAAAAAATAAATAAATAAATAACTCACATGTGTTGGAGATGGCCACTCATTTCAGCCTCCTACCAGTGGTACATGGTCAGGCAGTACCTCATCTTCCTTCATGCCATGCCACTGTGGGCCACTTTATCTCTCTCTCCTATAACTAGACATCACGGCAGGCAATCTGAGGACCATCTGTCTGATGGCCTTATTCTTCATCCCTTCCCACTACATGACAAGAAAACATGTTGAAACCTTCCTTTATGTTCCCATGCCAAGTTCTCCTGTCCCAAGTATCAGACATAAGGAATAGGAGAACTTGGAGCTCTAGGCCTACTGATGATAGGGCTATCAGGTACTGAGACCCAAGCTATTGGTCCTCACGACTGCTAAAACAGAATACTGTTTACCTGAAACACATCTCCATTGACAGTGGTCCCCATGTCCTCAGAACCAGCTGGAAAGAGAACAGGAGACAGCATTACTCATTGTTCAGCTGGTCCGACATTAGCACACTGAGCCAACCTCTATGTATGCCCGTGTACATACCATCCCCCACACTTACACATAATGGATACAGAAATAACTTGGGCTCAAACCTTGACTATTCACAAAGCCTTTCACAGCCATCATCACATATGATTTTCCTGACAGCCCTATCATGATGTTGTTATCAACCCATTTCACAGATTCTCAAGGTGAAGCTCATAGTCTACATGATTGCCCAAGATCACCCAGCCAGTAATAGCTCCTAACCTACCTGAAACTAAAGACTCCCAGTCACATCTGGGAGTGGTCAATCATCCACAGAGCCCACACCTGGTAAGGGGGCAAAAATGCTGCAGGCTGAGGGTGGGGGATGAGAGGCATATGGAAGAGAGAGAGGCCTGCAGAACTGCCCCACCTGGGAGAACAGGAGTTACCATTCCTACCCAGCCAACCTGGCCTATTTACTCTCTTTGTGCCCCTCCCAGGATTTGAGTTTGCCCTCAGCAGTGACTCTTCCCCTTCCTTTCCCTAACGTCTGATTAGTCACAAATTCCTGGGGCTTCTGCTGCAACAATAACCCTACAGAGTTGCCCTCCCCTCTTTCCAGCTGCCCAACTCCAGTCCAGGCCCTCACCATCTCACACCTGTACAACTGTTTTACTCTGTCTGTCCTGTTAGTGGCAAACATCTGGAAAAGCATAACTGTACCTCTTTCTCTTCTCCTCTTTATCTTTCCCAGAGCTGTGCGATGGTACCTGCAACTTTGTAGGAACTCAATGGCTATTTGTTGAATAAACATTAATACATGAATTAAAGAAAGAAAAGATGAATGCATGACTTCTGCCCATTCACAGGTGGCCCAGATTGGAGCTTCACCCTCTCCTGTCCCTCTTTCAGACCACTCACCAGGACTGACATTTTGTAAAACATACATTAATGTGTGTCACTCCTCTGACTCAAAAAATAATGAAAATAACCCCCCCTCCCAAATCTACTTCCATGGGACCACATGGAGGTGCAGGGCCTGCTCCTGCCTTGGGGACTTTGCAGGTGCTGTTCCGTCTGGAAGGTTGCTCCCTCACCCCCTGCAGCCACTGCTTAAATCTGCCTTATTAGAGGGCCTCCTGGACCACACCTAAACCCATTCCTCTGGCACCCCTTCTCTTCCTCCAGCAACATTTTCTCTATAGTACAGGGAGTCCCCAGGTTACAAACAGGATAGGCTCTTTGGGTTTGTTCTTAAGTTGAATCTATATGTACGTTGGAACAGGGACATTTACCTATTACATATAATAGCCTCAGTTCATAAGTGCAAGTCGTGTGTCAGTCAGATGTTTGTAACTTGGGGGCTGATTGAGTGGTTCTCAACTGTCCTAATGCTGCAACCCTTTAATACAGTTCCTCATGTTGTGGTGACCCCCAACCATAAAGTTATTTTCGTTGCTACTTCATAACTGTAATTTTGCTACTGTTATGAATCATAATGTAAACATCTGATATGCAGGATGGTCTTAGGTGAACCCTATGAAAGGGTTGTTCGACCCCCAAAGGGGTCATGACCGACAGGTTGAGAACCGCTGGCCTAGACTCACTGTAGCCTGACAGATTTGTTTGTGTAGGTGTTTATTATGTAGGTATTTATTATCTGTCTTCCACACTTGAATGGACCCTCCCTTGAAAGCAGGGTCTTTTTCTTCTCCATGATGGGGCCCAGTACCTGGAACAGTGCCTGGCACATAATAAGGATTCAATAAATATTTCCAGATGAAGACATCTAACCCTGGAGCACAGTACATGAGGATCATTGCCCATTTTTCCTGACTTATTTCCCATCTATCCCTCCAACAAACCTAAATTCTGGTTTCCACTTTCCCCAAACACACCACTCCCTACCTGCCTGGCCTATCACCCTGCTTCCCTCTCTAAAGAATGCTTTTTTGGATCCATTCATTCTCCAAGATGTAGTTCATAAGTCACTTCCTCCGGGCAGCCCTGTCCTTCTTCCCCTTGCCTAGGCACTGACAGAAGGTTTCTCCCCTCTGAGGCATCCCAGAAAATTGGACAGCTTCTCTGCACCTTCTTGTACAATTACCTGTTATCCGCAGCAGCCACATGCTCCCTTACCAGGCTCTGTATCATATCCTACTCAGCTCCTAAGGCAGACGTCCTCAAACTACAGCCCGCTAGCCACATGTGGCCTGCCTAGGACATTTATCTGGCCCGCCAGGTGTTCTTGCCGCCACTGCCTGTCCTGCTTAGCAGCTGACTGGTCCTGGGAGCCACAGTCCAGCCATCCAATGGTCTGAGGGACAGTGAACTGGCCCCCTGTTTAAAAAGTTTGAGGACACCTGTTTCAAGGGCTTCTATACAGAATGTGTGAGTAGTAACTGTTGGTAAGTGGAAGTCGAATTGCTCTTTGGGAGCCCTCTATTATCTATCAGACCTCTCAGAAACGGTGATGTCTCCAAGCAAAGAGCCATGGGATGCCACAAGAGGTTATCACAGATGGACAAATGTGCCTTCCCCAGCCGGATAGGCTGTGAACAGCATCGACAGTGCTTTAGGCCAGGAGACTAAAGAGAGGGAGACTTAATCCCAGGGAAATAATCCCCAAGTGACATAAATTATAATTGGCTTGGCTTTTAGAATCAGTGACTGATTTTGACCAATTCTGTAGCTGTCACCCTCATTCATTCAGATAGGTTATCTCCTGCATGGGTGCCCAGGTCCCTAAATTAGTCTGGGAACAACTGGGTTTCAGTGGCAGCATCTTCTGCAAAAGGGCTTCTTCTCCTGAGCTATCTCCTCTACCAGGACTTCACATTACCAGGGTCCATTCACAATGAAGCTGGTCTGTACACTTGGCCTTCTGGAGAAGTGGCACCACTCCACTCCACCCTGAGCACTCCCAGCCTCAGACCCCACCTACAGGAAGCTTCCCAGGATCCATTCTGACCTTTGGAATGTCTCTCTACCCGTCTTGGGAGGATTCCTCTCTAGAGATGAGGTTTCAACCTCTTTGGGAATCCACACACACCCATACATAGAATTACGAATATCTGTTTCCACAATGCTCTGATCAATCTACTGCATGTTTATCACCGTGAGTCCATAATCAGAGACTGGCAGAACAGAAGTGAGGCAGGGATAAGCCCCTGGGTGTATTGCTTCCTTCAGCTGCCTGACCCATTTTGGAACAAGAGCAGAGATAGCCAGAACATTCCTATGAGCTTACTGAGGCCCAGCAGGGGAAATGGGCTTGCCCAGAACTCATGGGCAAGTTAGAGCTAGGACTGGTGCTCAGAAAACTGAGTGTGAAAACATAAACCTTTTGGGCCCTACCCAAGGCTGATGAATGGAAACAAAGTGTCTATCACTCAGGCAGATCCAGCCAGAGCCAACAGATTCAGTGTGGCTCAGGCTCAGGCTTATACCAGATGCCTCCCCCAGGGGGATCTGGGAGCCCAACAGAGGGGCTGACTGCTTTTGCTGCTATAGTCAGCTTCCACCCAGGTCCCACCAGGCCAAAGCACTTGTTCTCCACCCCATCCGGGTTTTTGGCATTCATTCCTGCTCAGGGGAGGATTACCTCTTCGGCAGTGCCTGGGTGAGAAGGGCTGGATAACTCTTATAGTGTCTGACTACCCATTGATATGCCACCCTGCAATTTCCCCCTGCTTCCCAGACTGCTATTTAGGAGAGCAGCTGAGCATTGTGGCTTTAGCATGTGTGAATCTGGGATAACCTCAGAAAGCTGGCAGCTCACTGCATAAAGAGAGAATGTCCGTGTTTCTCTCCCGGCCACTTTGGTTCTGAGACCAATCTGTGCCCCACCCCTTCCAGAGAGGGAACCTCCCATCCAGGCTGTAAGCTTCTGCAGCCCCACTGTCTTGGGAAAGGCCACAACTTGCTCAACTCCCAGACGCCTCTGCCTACCCTGGGCTTGAATTCTACCTGCCCTTCTCCCTCTCTTGGAGTTCTGAGGATAGCTCCTTTCAGCAGGGCCTCCCCCCACTCCACCCTGGATGCCACACTCTGGTCCTTATAAGACAGATGGAGGAACGGGTGGTCTCATTCAACTCAGACAAATGAATACTAGTGCATTAACTTGGACAGGCATTTCCTAGGAATCCCCTGGGACATAGGAGGGTCGGTGCTCCAGTGCTGGAAGCTGCTTGTTCTGCTGGCTCCATTGCTCATTTAGCCAAATGGCAAAAGACCTGTATCTCCTCACTCCCACATCATCACCTCCCAGGGAGACTGCCACATTGTTGAAAGAGATGGAGCCCAGAGCTGGGAGTCCTGGGATCAAGCCCTAGAGCTATTACTCACAGCTGTGTGGGCCTCTAGTTTTGCATATATTACTAAAGGCTTGCTACATTTCTCTTATCAAAGGGATACAGAGTTTCTTCCCACTCCTGGGTCACAGGGACTGTTTTACTCATTTCTGTATCCCCAGCAGCCTGGCATGCATTAGGTACTTGGTGAATGTGAAATGAATGCAAATATACTGTGGAGAGCCTCGTAAACATGTGTGTGAATGTTACTGTGCGTATCCCAGTACTTATTACAACAGGCCCATAAATCCTTTAAAATGACCTTAACAGGAAACAAAGTCTGTTTTGGATGTATTCACGAAGGTTATATCACCTTGTTTTACTAGATAGTTTACAAAATTGTTCTTTCAAGCCAGAAACTGAACAGGAACATCATTGATAAACACGATATTTGGCAGGAACATAGCCCTGAACCCTGAGATCTGAAGCTAAGCACGGTAGCCCTGGATCACTTTTGGAAAACCATTAAGTGACAATTACAAACCACTGAAGGGCAGGAACACATTCCTTTGGGCCCCTGTCCCTACCCCAGCTTCAAACTTAGAGCCAGGCCTGGAAGACAGTGAAGTCATGTAGAGACTTACAGAAACAGGTTTAAATTTGATCTACTCTTACTAGCTATTTCAATAATGTATGTCTTTGAGCCTCTGTTTTGCTATCTCTGAAATTGTCCAATAATGTGTATGAAATGATTAAATGTAACTAACATGCTTAGCCCAGTGGCTGCAGAATGGCGGGTGGTTCCCATGGAAGGTTTTCCGAGTTCCTGGAGCACCAGTATGAGAGAGCTAAGCCTGAGGGCCTAGGAGGCCACACCTGCTCCACTTGGCAGGGATCCTGGGACAGCAGGGTATTCAGAGGCTCAGGACGGACTCTCAGAACTGGGCTGTGGGCAGTTAGTGGAGCTGGCCTGGGAATGAAATGTCATTGCAGAATCGGTGTCCTGGAGTCGCCAGATTCACCGCCCTAGCAGAGGCCTTGGCTCACCCTTTAGCTCAGAGGTCCTAGATAGGGATCTCCAAGAAGATTCCCGCAGGCCCTCGCTCACGCACAAACACAGCCCCTGGCCTGCTCTTGGCTGGCCTACAGCCGGCCCTCATAACTCTACCGCAGGGCCCATAGGCCGGTCTGCAAGGACCTGGGTCCCGCAGTGCGAGCCCGGAGCCCACCCGCTCACAGGCCACAGCGCTGACTCACCCCCACTCGCAGGTCCCGGCTGCGCCGAGGCCAGCTGGCTGCGGGCAGGAGCCCCGAAGCCCTCATCATTCTCTATGCCTGCGATCTCGCTCTCCTGCTGGGCTAGAAAGGCAGCCGCTGGGTCCTCCTCAAGTGCCTCCGGAGCCCCGCTCTCTGACGACGAGAAGAAGCCAAAGTCATCAGCCATTTTCCCCGCGTCCCTGCTGAAGCCTCTACCTGGCGCTCGGCTCTGCCCGGCGCGTGCTCCGCGCTATGCGCGGCGGCCGCGACGCTGTCACCCGAGCAGCCGGGGGGAGCCGGCTTCGGCGGAGACAGGCTCGGCCCGGCGACACTGCACTTCCTCTCAGCCACCCGGCCCGGCTCTCCTGTCACTGCTGCAGCAGGCGCCGCGGCGGGAGGAGCCGGACCGGAATGTGGTGATGTCACCGGCCAAGGGAGGGGGCCCACAGGACAGCCGAGAGGTCGCCTCGTATTGGCCACAGGAGGGCGGCAGCAGGACGGGGCTCAGGCCGAGGGGTCTGGCGGCCCGGGCGAGGATCCCCAGCTCCTTCCGCAGAGGCGCTCCTTTCCAGAGCACAGTTCCTGCGCGCTCTAGAGGCGGGGAGAGCTGGACAAAGTGGCCATACTGTGTACGGAGCCACGACCGACCGACAGCCCCGGCCTCGGGACCTCAGAGCAGGTGGTAGCCACTCAGATCTTGTTCTTGATTCATTCTGCAAAAGTTTCTTCACTCGAGTTGGGCAAATATGAATCCCATTCCCCCTCTTACAGAGGAGGGAAATGAGGCTGGGAAAGCCTGAGTTGCATCTTTTCATGAAAGTCCAGGGCCTTTCCCGATTCAGAGCCTTTTTGTGGATTTCTCTTCATGTGCGAAGACTCACCTCATACCACCAGAGTTCCTGTGTCCTGACTAGGACTCTACTTAGAAACTGGCCCCCTTAAATGTCCTAAGAAAGGCAGACCTAATTTAATCAGGCTGCCTGCCACTCTTCCGCTGCCTTTAGTAGACAATCTGAACGCCTCCTCCATGCCAGAGCTTTGCTGAGCACCAAGACAACAACATTTTGTAAAATCTTGCCCTGAGGTGGTGACCGTAGCTCAATAGGTAGGGCTCTGGCCACATACACCGATGCTGCCAGGTTCGAACCTGGCCTGTGCCAGCGTTGTGGTGGGCATCTGTCGTCCCAGCTTTTGGGAGGCTGAGGTAAGAGAATCTCTTGAGCCCTGGAGTTTGAGGTTGCTGTGGGGCTGTGATGCCACAGCACTCTACCGAGGGCACCATAATGAAACTCTGTCTCAAAAAAATAAAATAAAACAAAATCTTGCCCCGGCCATGGGGAAATTACAATCTAGTGAATCCAATAGATGGCAAATGATGAAAGTGCTGTGTGTGAGGTGCTCTGACATTTAAGCACAGGATACAGGGAGACCCAAAAACCACAGGGAATATGGGCTATTTCCTATTTTTTTTAGAATTTTTTTTTTTTTTGAGATAGAGCCTCAAGCTGTCCCCCTGGGTAGAGTGCTGTGGCATCACAGCTCACAGCAACCTCCAACTTCTGGGCTCAAGTGAGTCTCCTGCCTCTGCCTCGCAAGTAGCTGAGACCACAGGCGCCCACCACGGCACCCGGCTATTTTTTGGTTGCAGCCGTCATTGTTGTTTTGGCGGGCTGGGGCTGGATTCGAACCTACTACCTTAGGTGTATGTGGCTGGCGCCTTAGCCACTTGAGCCACAGGCACCGAGCCCTGTTTCCTATTTCTAATGCAAGACTTGGAGGTCAACTAGGAGTTATGAACTACAACAGAAATAGGAAAGATATACCCCAAGCTGGGAGGGTGGAAGACCTATGCCCTGCCATGGTTTGCCATAGTATGTGTATTCCCAGGTTTCAACCCATCATTCATTCCCAAATAAATTCATTTTTTATAGAGACACTCTCTTGGTTGTTATTTTAGGTTGACCTGTGCCTGGCTCCTGAGGAAAAGTTTTCAGTCTTCTACTACCGAGCATATTTGCTGTGGATTTTTCTTTCTTTCTTTCTTTCTTTTTTTCTGCTGTTTTTGGCCGGGACTGGGTTCAAACTCACCATCTCTGGCATATGGGGCCAGCACCCTACTCCTTTGAGCCTCAGGATACAGGCGCTGCCTTTTTTTTTTTTTTTTTTTTTGAGACAGAGTCTCACTTTGTCGCCCTCAGTAGAGTACTGCATAGCGTTATAGCTCACAGCAAACTCAAACTCTTGGGCTTAAGCGATTCTCTCACCCCAGCCTCCCAGGTAGCTGGGACTACAGGAGCCCACCACAACACTGGACTATTTTTTGTTGCATTTGTCATTGTTGTTTAGCTGGCCCAGGCTGGGTTCAAACCCGCCACCCTCGGTGTATGTGGCTGGTGCTGTAAACCACAGTACTACCTGCACCGAGCCTGCTGTGATTTTTCATTTATGGCTTTTACTACCTCAATGTAACTATCTTCTATTCCTAGTTTTTTGAATGTTCTTGTCATTAAAGGGTGTTGAATTTTGCCAAATGCTTTTTCTACTCAATTGAGATGATCATGTGGTTTTCTTTTCTTTTTCTTTTTTTTTGAGATAGAGTCTCAAGCTGTCTCCCTGGATAGAGTGCATGGTGTCACAACTCACAGCAACCTCAAACTCTTGGGCTTGAGCTAGTCCCTTGTCTCAGCCTCCTAAGTAGCACAGCGCCTGGCTATTTTTTTTTTTTACAGTTTTTTTTTTTTGGCCGGGGCCAGCTTTGAACCCGCCACCTCTGGTATTTGGGGCCGATGCCCTATTCGTTTGAGCCACAGGCACCGCCCAATGCCTGGCTATTTTTTGTTTGTAGTTGTCATTGTTATTTGACAGGCCTGGGCTGGATTCGAACCCACCAGTTAAGGTGGCCAGCATCCTAGCCACTTGAGCTATAGGTGCCAAGCCAATCATGTGGTTTTCTTTGCCTGAATTCCATTAGTATACTGTATTACCTTGACTGATTTTTTTTTTCTTTTTTTTTTTTGCAGTTTTTGGCCGGGGACAGGTTTGAACCCACCACCTCCCATACAGGGAGTCAGCGCCCTACTCCTTTGAGCCATAGGCACCACCCACCTTAACTGATTTTTTGTATTTTAACCCACACTTGCATTCTAGCTGGTCATGGTATCTAATCTTTTTATTGCACTGTTGAATTCAGTTTGCTAGGTTTTTTTTCCCCCAAAACAGAGGCACAAATGTTTTTGTTACATGGATACCTTGTATAATAATTAAGTTAGGGCAGCTTGAAACTATTTTTTTTAAGGATTTTTGCTTCAGTGTTCACAAGGCATATTTATTAGTCTATAGTTTCCTTTTTTGTAATATCTTTATCTGGCAAGAACACAGTAAGTAAAACAAGCAGACAGCCCTCAAAATGGGAAAGGATATTGCAGGCTATGCTTCTGACAAAGATTTGATAACCAGAATCCACAGAGAACTCAAATGTATTAATAAGAAAAAAACAAGTAATCCCATTTCATTGTGGGCAACGGACTTGAACAGAAGCTTCTCTGAAAAAGATAGGGGCATGGCCTACAGACACATGAAAAAATGTTCATCTTTAATCATCAGAGAAATGCAAATCAAACCCACTATGAGATATCCCCTAACTCCAGTAAGAGTGGCTCACATAACAAAATCCTAAAACTACAGATGTTGGTGTGGGAGAAAAGGGAACACTTCTGCACTGCTGGTGGGAGTGCAAGCTAATACGTCTCTCTTTTTGGAAAGAAGTACGGAGAATACTCAGGGATCTAAAAGTAGACCTGCCATTTGATCCTGCAATTCCTCTACTAAATGTATATCCAAAAGACCAAAAATCACTTTATAACAAAGATATTTGCACCAGATTGTTCATTGCACCTCAATTCATAATAGCCAAGTCATGGAAGAAGCCCAAGTGCCCATCAACCCATGAATGGATTAATAAATTGTGGTATATGTATACCATGGAATATTATGAAGCTTTAAAAAATATGGAGACTTTACCTCTTTTATGTTTACGTGGATGCAGCTGGAACATATTCTACTTAGTAAAGTATCTCAAGAATGGAAGAAAAAATATCTAATGTACTCAGTACTGTTATGAAACCAATTTACAATCACTCACACTTTCACATGAAGAACAGATCACAACTATGGGCCAGGATGAAGGAGAGAGGAGGGGGCTCTGAGAGGAGTTGGGGGAGGTCGGATCAAGGACGGTGAATGGTGGGATCACACCTATAGTGTATAATGCAAGGGTACATGTCGGATCTATTAACTATAGAGTATAAATGTCTTAACACAATAAATAAACAAGATAAGGTATGTATTAACCAGTGTGATATAAGCATTCCTAATTCTATATGAAATCAGCACATTGTACCCCATAAATGCATTAATGTATACATGATCTATGTGTTTATGATTTAATAAAAAAAAGAAGAAAGAAAGACAGGAAGTGTTCCCTTTGCCTCAGTTGTTTGTTGTTGTTTTTTTTTTGAAACAGAGTCTCACTGTGTCGCTCATGGTAGAGTGCTGTGGTGTCATGGCTCACAACAACCTCAAACTCTTGGGCTTAAGCGATTCTCTTGTCTCAGCCTCCCCAATAGCTGGGACTACAGGCACTTGCCACAATGCCCAGGCTATTTTTTTGTTGCAGTTGCCATTATTGTTTAGCAAGCCTGGGCTGGGTTCGAACCCATCAGCGATGGTGCATGTGGCCAGCACCCTAACCATTATGCTAGGGGTGCCGAGCCACCACCTCAGTTTTTTTGAAAAGTTTGAGAAAGATTGGAATTCGTTATTCTGGAACTGTTTTGTAGAATTTACCATTGAAGCCATCAGGTTGCAGGTTGGTTGTTTGTTTAGCAGGCCTGGGCCAAGTTCGAACCCACCATCTCTGGTGCATGTGGCCAGCGTGCTAACCACTGAGCATGGGAGCCCAGCCCACAGGTTGTGGTTTTTTTCTTTGTTAGAGGATTTTGGGTTACTGATTTGATCTCCTTACTAGTTGTTGGTTTATTCATAGTTTCTATTTTCTTCATTATTTACTTGGTAGGTTTTATGTTTCTAGGAGTTTGTCCATTTCATCTAGGTTGGCATACAGTTGCTCATAGTATTCTCTTATAATCCCTTTTATTTCTGTAGAATCAGCAGTAATGTCCCCACTTTTCTTTCTAATTTTATTAATTTCATTCTTCTCTCTTTTTTCTTAGTCCATTTAGCTAAAAGTTTGTCAATTTTGTTGATTTCTTTTGAGAATCAACTTTCTATTCTCATAAATTATTGTAATACTTTTTTTTTTTTTTGGACAGAGTCTCATTATGTCACCTTTAGTAGAGTGCCATGGCATCACAGCTCACAGCAACCTCAAATGCTTGGGCTTA